TTAACTCAAGGCCTTTAGCGATTCAGATTGAGCCTCTTGCCTTGATACTCATTGTTCCATTATTGATTATTATATCTACCTTGGTGATTCCCTTATTTCATGGAAGTCCAAGAAACAATCCATTGTTTCACGGTCTTCTTTAGAGGCATAATATCCAACAATGGCCACCACTATTTGTGAACTTTAGGGACTTACTTACCTCTGTGACGATTTTTTAATCCCTTTCATTCGACCATCTCTTTTATATAGTGATAGTTAATTTGCTAGACACATTATTACAAATGGTGTTTTTCATGAATGGACAAAATATATCGACATTAATTGTCACCTTGTTCGAGAAAAGTTGTAGGCCAAGTTATTTTATTTACTCCCTGTTTCATCCCAGGAACATGCTGATGTTATGACCAAAACCCTTGATCCAACACCTTTTTCTTTCCTTTTTTCCAAGCTGGGAGTAATCAATATCTACTCTCCAGCTTGTGAGGGGATATTAGATAAAACTTAACACTATGTTAGCAAGAAAACAAGTGAATTTCTTTCTTATTTTAGGGTGATATTCTCTGAGGTTTTAAGCAAAATCAATCTTTGATATTAATGCCTTGAATGATGCATTACATCCCTTTGGCAATGTACCGTTTTTATGGAATTTGTTCAACATCTTATAAAATTCTTTCTTGAGGATCTTCCAAAAATATTGAATGAATTTTAAGTTTGAACTCATCATAGTCCAAACTTTGGTTTCTTTCACATTCCCAAACGACTTTCTTGATTTTAGTTTCTTCAAAATTTTCAATGAGAAATCATTGTCTATTTTTTAAATACTTTTAAAAGATATTGCATTTAAGTTAGGCCTTGACATCATATCCTTTTTTAATACTTTTTTTTTTTATCTCAACTTTCACCTTTTCTAACTCATCAACATAAGTGTTGTTAACTTTGATGTCAGGTAATACACCAACATCTTAATTGTTTGTGTAGTAGAAAATAAGCATCAATGAAATTTTTTGCAAATCTTAATTTAGAGAAATTTAAAATATCATATCAAGCTATTCTCATCTTCACTATGAGCAATAATTCCAATGAGTTACTTAAATTGAATTTTATAAGACTTACATTTTATCTTATTTATCTAATATATATCTAAAAATTTTTAATTGACTTTAAAGTGAAATTTATTGTAAAAGTTATTTTAAATTTTTTTAAATAAACTTAAACTCGTGTGTATATTAATGAACTTAAATTTTTAAATAAAAAAAAACAAATTCCTTTATAAATCTCTTTATGCTAGCATTCCTTGTTAATAGTTAATATATAAATCTTATCCTTTGGTCATATTAAATCTCACCCATTCATTAATGTATTTAATTTAAAAATTATATTAAACAAATCAAACAACGATTCAATTGTGTTTATCTTCATCCAAAAGTTCAACTCCATGAAGTTTATCACAACAAAGAGAAAATATAGCCCTTGCCTAGCCTCAATGATTAAATAGGTCTAACTTATTTAATAATTTTAAAATCTAAGTTTAACCTATGATCTGTTATACATTTTTTATTAAGCTTAACCTTGTCTTTTTAAAAGCCTATTTTGACATATTAGTCTTTTTACGACCTATTTCGTACTGAGACTTTTAATAGGTCATTAAACTTTTTTATAAATATATTATTAATTGAATTCAATTATGATTGATTATTCACATGTGCAAGTGCAATAAGAGTAGATAAAATTATTTTATTGCTCTCAATTAAAGAAGATATTTGTTAACCTGAAAATAGAGAAAAAAATGAGTGAAAAAAAGTTACATATAATATAAATAAGTATGTAAGAAGACAATGAATGAGACGAACCAACGATAAACGTAATTAAGATAGTGTAAAATTATCTATGTGTATAAGATAAATCAAACAATAGTAAAATAAAAGACTTTAATAAACATAACTTTCTCTTTTAGAAGGTATGTAATAAAGATACTTTTAAGCTTTAACAAAAAGAATTACATTTTTTTAATTTAAGATTTTATTCATTTTAAATTTTAATCTATTTAAAATAATACTATATAATAATTTATATATATATATATAATTATTTAATATATTATTATAAATTTTATGAGTTTTAAATAGGCTATTTTATTGGACTTAACAAACTTTTTCTTAAGCCAAACTTAACCAATTCAATTAATTAAGTATTTTAAAAAGATTAAATTAAACCTATTATTCAAATAAACCACAGTGAGTTATGTAAGAATAAATTGAGTTGAATCTAATTATATGAATTTAGAATACCAATTGTGAAGCGGTGGTAAAGTCATTTACTTGTTGTAGACATTTTGAATTATATCGTAAACGATCTACGTAACATGCGAATTCTTTTGTGAGTGAAAAACCAAGATCTTCCTTTGCCTAATCACACTCTTCTAATCCTAAGTTCTCAATAGGATAAACCTAGAGAGCAGTGAAATGTGTTTCCGTGACGGCAAAAAGGACTTAGCCATCGTATTTATTAACCCTAAGTACTTTTCATCATGGACCTAGAGGTTAGGCTCACACTTTATTTCACATAGATTAATATTAAGGTTTAAAGCCCATAAATAATTGATCACATTATTAATGAATTTAAGCATAATCAAATAGATCACAATATTAGTCTATTTTTAATAAAATAAAAATTACAATTGATTGTAACCCATAACAAATATTATATGAAAAATTCTAACAAGTGAGGTATTAAAAGAGTTAAACACCCCTATTTTCATCCCAACCTCGTGTCCTCTGCAACTCCACTTTCACGTCTAAGTTACTGAAATTCTTTAAATAATTGATGGTAACCAAACATGAACTCACCCATACTTTGATTGAGGACGTACACACATGGATATGAATGACATGATTATTCCATTCAAAATTTTTACATTGGTCAACGATACTATCATATAGTGGAAGAGTATCACAACGAAGACGACCAAGGACCAGATTTTGGAGGATTGATGTCCCTCCTCTACCGTCTTTCTTTTGATTCTAATTGATTTTTTTTTCTCAGTTCAGAAAGTGAAAAAAAAAGGGACACTTGATTTTAAAAAATATTAAAAATTAATTAAACGTTAAGATTAAATAGAAATAAAGGCTGATAATTTGCGTACCGTATTTATTTAATCCTACTTAAGAGAAAGGTTTAGTAAAATGTTTTAAATAATTTAATCATCAATTAAGATGAATTAAAAATTTAAAATATACCTTAGTTATAAAAGAAGAAGATTTACGAAGTCTGTATACTTTTCGCTAATAATAGCAATACTAATAACATTATTAAATAGATTAATCTATTATATTTGAATTTTTTAATGATTTAATCTTTTTGACAAACAATTACTGAAAATTTTAAGTATTATTTAGTTCAATTATTTTAAAGAAAGAATGGCTTATTGTTATTACCTATTTGAGATAATTTTTTAAAATAAATATTAAATATTTTTAAAACTTAGCATAATTTATTCAATAAATAAATTAAAAATTAATGTAAGTTAAGTCATAAATTTACAACAAATAACTTAACTTATCCTGATCTCTATGGATCATCTCGATTCCTTAAAAAAAGTAAGTGCTGGTTAATTTTTCAAATATAAAGAACCATACGTGATTTGAACTTATTTTGACCCGACTTCTAAACTCATATAACAATTTAGGTGTGAAACAATTCAATCTTTGCCCAAACGAAGTAAAGTTAGCTTTTTCCACAATTCTTAAATTATCCCTTGCAAATAAAATTTTGTTTTGTTAATGCTCCAGCATGAATTTTACACTTGTTTATGATAAATAATGAAAAAATTTTAACCGAATTTTTTTATTTTATTTTTTACTGTGAACTTGTGACTGCTTGTCGAAAAGATGACCACCGGCGTTGTTTTTTACATTCGTTGAATATATTGAAAATTTATAATTTTTTATCTATGGCAAACTTGTGAATATGTTATACTACTTATCTATGTGAATGTATCAAAGGATATATATATATCTCGGATAATCTGTTTGGTTCGCCGTGCTTCGAACTTCATTTGATTGATAGTTAGGAATTGGTCAAACTTCGATTTGACCAAATTAAAGCAAAAGTGAGTAGGGAGTGCCTTTGGTTTTATTTTATTTTTCCAGTTGTGGTTAACAAAATAAAATGAAGTAAAAAGAAAATAGCTAGCACAAACCATTAAGAGTGTGAATTGCCTGAATTTTCCCATTCAGATTTTATAGACAGATAAATGACAAATAAGCTCAAAGATGCATACATCGATCTATTCCCCTCTCCCCTGTAAGAGCAAATATAATGCATTGGGTACCCTTTATTCTGTATTAAGGGACAAACTTAGACATCAACGGTGGAAATCATGCTCAGCGCATCGATCGTCACGTAAATTTTGAGCATCAATTCGCAATCAATAAAGAAGATCACGCGCGCTCGTGACACTTTGCCTCATGTATTTGCACATGCCAAAAAGCCTGATATTTTTACTGTCCTGGTTGTGGGATCACATGCAAAAAGATCAAAACTAAAGAAAAGAGCATCATTATACTGTTCCCCAGCATCTAGTTCGGATAGACTACAATGGTAGCATTCACATGAGAGCGAACCTCACCCTCCTTCTCATAAAGTGGAGGCAGGGCAAGCTTCTTCTCGCAGAAGATAAATTCAAGTAGTAGTAAATGGTCTAAGTTGACCAGTCAAAGCATTTGCAACATGGAAAAGTGCATGCATCCTGAAACTCACAAGTTGCAAATGCATGCTCCTTCATTTCTTTCCTAGCTAACTGTATATTATTCAACAAGAAATATCATATAGCCCTTGTATATCTATATTTGTTTGATAAAATGAAGATCTATCCCTCCAGTACCAGCAGTAAGTAGAAACTATCGTAATTAGCTGTTATTAATTAGGGTTTATAATTTCCTGATGAATGTTTATAACCACGATATACAAACAATAAAAAATTAAAATATTTAGCTATAATCTCAATTATCATTTAGAGGAGGTGTAGGGGTGGAAGAAGATTCGAACTTGTAATGCTTGTCCACTGCAACGGAAACGTCCCACGTGCAACTAAGTCCCTTGGGTATGGTGACAAGGTCGCCGGCACCAAACTGTATAGACTCAGACGAGCCTTTTGGGGAAACCTTCACTTTCCCTCTCAGCAAATAACACGTTTCTTGAGCATCAAATTTGAGCATGTACTTCCCAGGAGGACAACCCCATCTTAAAGAACACAGTTTAATCGGATCTATTAGTTGAAATCATGCATAGTTAAGAAAAAAAAAAAACTGTCACAAAAGCTAATATATAATAAAGGAGAAAATAAAACAAGTACTCTATCAATAAGCTATTGAATTGATGTATCTTGTTCACTCACTTGGGCCATGAATTTATACCCAGCTCTGATAATCGTGATTTGGAAGGATTGCTTTCAACTGTGATAGTTAGCTCTGAAGATGACCTTGGTGTAGATGTTGATGCCATAGACATATAAGAATAAGTTGAACAGAGGAGAACCTTTGAAGAAGAGAGAGAATAAAGGGGTTGAGAATTAAACTGGTTAAAGGAGTGGTTGGTCTCCTGCTTAGTTTTTTTTTTCTATAGATACAACAAAAGGGCTATGCTCAGAGGTAGAGAAATGGAACTTTTATAGATCAAAGAGTTATACAAAGAAAGATGAATCTTTGGGTCGGGTTGTTATTATATTATATATAAACGTACCTTTCTGCACAGCACTGGTAAATTGAATGGATCCATTAATTATATTATTTGAGAGGTTAACAATTTTATTTGTGATTAACTTGAAAATTAACAGTGCATGAACTTGATGATAGTTCCCTTTATGTCTGTATTACATCAAGGGAGAGAGACAGTTGAAAACGTGCTCCAATCTATATTCTACGAATATATGTATATTATATGCGCGAGTGTACAATTATGGAATAAGAATTTAGGTCAAGGCGTGACTTAATGGAGACAAAACATGGGTCAGTGAGAGAATGTTCTGAAATGGAAATATCACAAACTGCAATGAGGACAAACATGTACCCACATTAATGCCTTTTGTCTTGCTTGGAGGCTAGCATCGCTAATTTGCTAGTGGCCCGCCAAGGCCACTTGAATAATCACCAATCATAGCAGTATTGTTTTTCAATATAATTATTAGGTTCTAATTAACATGTTTTTAGACATTTTTCTTTTTTGGATCATTTTTGGTTTCTAAGTTAATGCCATTGTTGAAGGATGGCGATTGCTTTAGTTGTAGTATTTCACAATTTTTTAAGATGCATGCATGCGATATGTTTATGGTACCAATGGGACTGCCATGGTCATACAACTTTTATTCGGATTTTGGAATTTGTTTGTTAAATTGTGAAAAGTATACAATTAACAAACATAATAAGTATAACAATAAATAAATAAGCATTCATTCAAAGCTGCCCCGTGACTTACACAAATTATTAAAATGTCATTAAGTAAAAATAAAATTAATCACAAATTGACTCTCTTCCCATTGTATTGGACAGATTTATCGAATATAGATTGCTTTTGTGTTTCTTCCTTCAACTTTTTCGTGTTTTTTTAATTTTGTATATTTATTTAGTTTTTTTCTAGAATTAAATATTTTTAAAAATTAATTTTAACTTTGTTTTGGTTATTTTTTTAAAATTATAACCACATTTTAAAGTGAAAAGTATTTTTAAAATCAAAACTTTTAAATAAATAAATATTTTATTTCCACTGTTATACACACACAATATCATATTTTATTTTTATTTTTATGCACACATCTTAAAATATTTTTCAAAATTAAGATAATACTTTTAATTGTTGATAAAATAGTTTTTATTATCTTATTATTTCACTTTGCTAGCATTACTCATTATCTTTAATCAATTTGAGATATATTTTATGTATTGCTATAAATAATTTTTTTTTTTACATTTAAAGTGTATTTTGAAGATATGTGTACATAAAGAAATAATTAAAATATATTGATAATATATATATATATATATATATATTTATATATAGCTTTATAAATTTATAATTTATCATGTTAATAAAAAAGTATGATTTTGTAATAACTAGGTTAAAAATTATATCTATCACCAATTTTTATTATTTTACAAATATAAAATAGTTATTATGATAATACATCGTGATCAAACTTGAAAAATAACGACATATACGGCATAAGAAAATAACGATATATACTATAAAATTTGAATAAATAAAATAACAAGATTGATTTCGCTTTCACACGGTTTGCAAAATTGCAAACCCCTTTCTTCCCTCCCCTCATGCGCTGACCCACCCATCAAAACTACTCCCCACAGTTAAATAAATAAATAAACAAATAATTGAGCAGCTACCCTCGCAGAGTCTCTTGCGGTTCTGCACTAAATGGAAGGCAATGAGAGCGAACTTAGCTCCTTCTTCGACCAGAGCAACACCGTCACCGTCACCGTCACGGCCTCGCCAACCAAAGGCTTGTTCCCAAGCAGTGATGTTTCACTCTCACAGTCACAATCACAGTCGCAGACGGAGTCACACGTGCCTTACCCTCATTCCCAACTGCAAGCCCAGACGCCGAAGAAGAAGCGAGGGAGACCAAGAAAGTACGAGTCGCCAGCGCAAGCTCTCGCCGCAAAGAAGGCTTCTTCTACGTCGTCGTTTCCATCTTCCAACAAATCCCACTCCTCTCTTCTAGGTCTTTCTTTCCAATTTCTAACTTCTTCGCTGCTTTATTTTCTGTTTACGACCCCGTTTTTACCAACTAATCAGCAATTACCAAGTGTATGAACGAATCTCTGAATTTGAATTTTACGATTCTGCTGATGCAGGTAGTTCAGGACACGGCTTCACTTCGCATGTCATTACTGTTGCTGCTGGTGAGGTAAGCATTATTCTCGACATTAAACACTGTTTCTTGATTTTAGATGTCTGCGTCTACTCTTAGAATCTGGCAAGGTATTTACTGTTTAGTGATCTGTGACTATTCATATACCAACGCAATTAGAATTCCGAATATTTAGTTTATATATACTTCAGTTCACTCATCAGAGTCTAATTTAGTTTAATGCGTGTCTATACACTGTTGGCCGGTTGGTGTTACTATTTTATTTGTCATATTCCGAAGTTATGTTGAAAACTTGAAATACAATTTGTAAAAGACTAGCCAAATATGAATAACGCACTCTAACAATCATGAATCTGCTTAAAGGGCCGTTGAACAAGTGATGCGATTTGAATTGACAGGTCAGAGTCAGTATTATGTCTTGATTTATCTTCTGCGTCTCCGCATATAATGATATATTTATTTGACAAGAGAACATTTATTCAATTCAATTAATTGTGAGTCTTTTTTCTTTTTAATAATCAGCCCCTTTTCTTCTGGGAGTTTACAATCAAAATGATTTTTAATCTTTTCGTCTTTAGGAAGCTTGGATTTTCCTTCTATGACATTTGAATATATTATGTTTGATGTTATTAAATTGTTCAGCTTTTTTAGTCTGTCTGTTACTTCCATAATTATTTGAGCATGCATTCACTAGGATGTCAGTCAAAAAATTATGTCGTTCATGCAACAAAGAAGGCGGGCAATGTGCATTCTGTCTGCATCTGGTTCCATATCTAATGCCTCACTTCGTCAGCCAGCAACCTCAGGAGGCAATATTACATATGAGGTAGAAAGTTAAATCATTTTTTTTATGTCTTTTATGTTTTATTTTGATCCAGGAAATGGGACTTTTTTAACCGTTAGTCAAGATCTATTCGTAGATTATCTGAATAAACCAGGCTCAAATCTTGTCCATTTATTTCTTTTCTTTGTTTTTCTATCATCTATTTTTTTAAGATTTTTCTCTTACCCTCAACTGAATTGATCAAATTTTTCAAATTTTTTGTTATCTCTACTATTATTAAGTAAACTCTATCTCCACTGTTTTCCCCCATAAACTCCTGAAATAATCCTTTCCTTGATAACTTGTTAGCATTTTAAATGTAAATATACAAATTATAATGAATACTACAACAACAAAAAATTATCTGCCCGTTTCACTCTTATTTGACAGTTACTTTTTCTGACTCATTTAATTTTCTCTCCATCTATTTATTTTTAAGCACACACATATATTGTGTGCTGACTCACATCACAGCTGATGTGTATTACAAAATGGTGATCTAGTACTCCAGGCTTCCTCCGTTGTGGGGTTTGAGGAGCTTCAGATGTTCTCAACCTTACCCATGGAGGCGGACTTTGGTTGTTAAAATTTGGAAATAGTAGTTAGGTTTAAACAAAATAGTATGTCATTTTATGTAGATATCTCTTGCACTCTCCAACTATGAAATTTTTGGCTTTCACTCTCCTGTGACTTTCAAGGGCACAACTGTAAAATGAATCAAAATTATATCTATCTGTCTGTCTATTTATCTATCTATGTATATAATGACTGCTGTCTTGAAGTTAGTGCCAAGAAGTAGTAATGTAATGTTCCTATTTTCTCATCATAGAATTGTTTGTCAAGGTAGGGATTTATTGTCTACAACATCATAGACACATGGCTAATTACTGAAAATTGTCATTGTCAATATCTATAATATTTTTGGTTTATTTTGTAGAGCCTTATAAATTTGTATTTTCATCAATGCTGAAATTCGTTCCATGTTGAGAGTTGTCTTTGTCTTATGCTTGCATTGCAAGGATAACTGTTTAACTATTTTTTATTATTTGTTATCAGGGTTGCTTTGAGATTGTTTCTCTTTCTGGTTCCTATGTTCTCAATGAACGTGGGATTCGGACTGGTGGTCTCAGTGTATGCTTATCAAATACTGATGGGCAGTTCATTGGTGGAGGCATTGTTGGACCCCTTAAAGCTGCTGGTCCAGTTCAGGTAATTTCATGATGATTATTATTAAACTTTGGTTGAACTCGAACATATGGTGGGAGATATGAGCTGTGTCCTACATGCTCTTTTTTTCTTGATGAACCCTGAATATTATGTTTTATCAGGAAATTTGCAAATACACAGAATCAGTACACAAAGGCAATATCAATCAAAACTTGGGTATTGATTTCACATGAAGCAATCCTATTTATCTTGATTGATAATCCAATTTTGATCATCTCATACATGGGGTGGGATATCCTAAACATAATGAAGAATACCTTTACCATTTTTCTATTTTCAAACAGCAAAAATAAGCATTAATTAACTCCTTAATATCTATGACTAATTAATCTAATTCCCCAAAGAAAATCTTTACTTCTGTAAGTTCTGTTCCAATTATATACCTGTGAAGCTTATTGCCTATGTCAGATAAGGGAATTTCACTTTGGTGTGTTTCCAAGATACAAAACAATACAAAATAAGAGCAATAGTAAAATCTTGCATAAATGAGGAAAACAAATTGAAATAATATGAGTAGTCATAGATTCAAGGTACAATGCTCATGATAGAATTAACTTTAGTTATGGAAAAATGAAAATTGAATCATGTTCCTTTGTTCAAAATAAGCAAAAGAGGGAAATGGATTAGAATTTGGTGAGGTGTGAAAGAGTTTGTTGGAAGGTGCCTCATTGTTGAGAGATGCAGAGGTAGTCTTTGTTAATGAGGTAAACAACAGTGAGAAATGCATGGTCCCAAAATTTAAAGGGCCAGGAGGCATATGCAAGGAGGGTAAGGCCAACTCATATGATGTGTCTCTGTCTCCTCTACGCTGTGCCATTTTGGTATGTGTGTGAGCAGTGAGCACAAATAATTCTTTGAAAAAATGGCAAGGTCAATGAAAAATTTAGAGAAGGGTCTGTATTCACCACCGTAGTTAGTTAGGACGGACTTAATTTTTCTTGGAAAATTTGACCTCCATAGTTCCAAAAAATAGTTAGTGCTTTGGACTCGAGCTTAAGTAGATAAATCCACATATTCCTAGAGTGAGATGCAACTATGGTGATGTTTCAAGCTTGTTTATAAATCATCACAAACAGTGTTTTCCGGAATTGAAAATTTTTGCTTTGTAAAACTGGCTTCATTATGTGGTTTTGTTTCCTTGATAAATGTACAAACTCTGTTTAGGTAGTTAAGCAAACATGCTAGCGGTAAGAGTACCCATCTGAGGATATAGTAGGGGCAGGACCCCACAAGTTACTAAAAGGTAGCTCAAGTATTAGAGGACAAAGAAGGCAGGTAATGATCTTTGCCCAGAAAACAGGTAGAACAAAAGTTAACATCAATTTTATTGTTGAATGATACATTAAAATGATCAAGAACAGATTTAAGAATTGCCAGGTGAGGTTGAGCTAATCCAAGTGCCATGTGGCTTAGAAAGTGGGGGCAGTTATTTCAAGAACTAAAGAAGTATGCGCATTAGTGAAAGAAACTTTAAAAACTATAGTAGGTTATGCACTTGAGTGCACTTTGGGTAAAGACGCAGTTGCATGAGGCGGTGAGATTATGAAATCTGTAGAGGCCATCTGCACCAAGAGATTCCTCCAACAGTACTTCATGAGAGACCTGTGATTTGACAAAGCAATGATGAGGATGAAATTCAAAGCATACAGAACACTTGTAAACTGACTAATTTTTTTGGCAATAGAGGGAACAAGTATAAGATTACAAAGGACCTGGTGGTGTGGGGTTTTAGGGGTGAGGTGAATGTGAAGCTCCCAACAGATTTGATGGATACACCTTGACTGTTGCCCATTAAAATGTGATCTGTACCCAAGACAGTGGTGAATTGTTGAGTTCTCTGCACTTGGAGTGACATGGTCAGCAATGCATGGGGCAGCTGCTGCAGAGGTGTGAACCCAGAAGTAGACTGAGTTGACAGAGAGCCAAATGGTGGTGCTGTTGACTATTTTTCTCTTGCTTTCTTCTACTAACTGCTTCTTAAAATTCAATTGCTTATCACCTTTAAGTAGCTACTTGCCGAGTTCTCTGTTTACAATTCTTAAAATGAACGTCAGGGACCAAGGTCACAGTAAGCTTTGCTATTCCCACTGCATATAAGCTTTGCCAACTTTCCCAAGCTCATGATCATCCTCTGTAGCAAAACTAAGTGAAATTTCAGTATTCACCCCAGATCTATCCAAATGATGCGCCTTTATTACTGCTTTGATATGCTATTTTGTGAGAAGAAAATTGTTCTTGACCTAACAGAGAGAGATCGAATGCGAAAAGGTGATTGGAGTTGTAATCTGAGTGACGAGGACCCTAAAACCAATGTTGAGTCAGAGGAAATGTTAGTCCATGAAGCAGTTACACAGCCCAAAGAATGGCTTGTCTACATGAGGAGAAAGAAGAAATCAGAGGAGGACAAAAAAAATGCTGAGCTGGCAAAGTTAGTTAGGGAGAGGGAATAATATTCCATTATTTAGGCATGATGAGGCTAGGGTAGGGGGATATGGTGATTCTGTTCTTGTAATACAGGATAGAAAAGCATTTGCTCTCTATTAGGAGCCTAGCTCTGGGGTATTAGGAGGTGTTGCCCTTTATTCTATCTGTTACCTGCTATCAATAATATACTTCCCAATTTTTCCAGTCCTTTATTTGTTTCTGTTCCCTTCTATTTGTGTTAGTGTTTGTGTGGGTTGCATCAGAGTCACAGGTGACTATGAATTTTGGAATAGATTGCTGTGCGAAGCCATGGCTGAAGACCAAACAGAAGCTTTTGATACCATATTAGTTTCAAGAAATCAAAGAGAATAGAAAGAAAGAAAATGCAGAGTGTGTGTGATTGAATTTAATCAAGTTATATTCTCTAAATATGTGACTTACAAAACTAATTTGAACATACTACTTTTCTGGCATCTATAATGTTTGGAAGCTAAGACCACCTAACTACTGCTACCAGGCAGTTTCCTTGTAGTTAACTAAAAGAATAGCTACGTTCTAACAGACTTGAGAAAGTATGTACTGTACGATTCTGATAGACCCTAACAAAATAAAACTCAGTTTTTGTCTCCTTGCATGATTTTTCCCATGTCAATTCTACCTAGTTCTGAATCGTGGTTGTCTGCCTTCTTTTAGTTCTCTTAGTATGTGTAGAAGATGTGCCCAGTTGTTAAAATTAGGTCTAAATAGGTCTACCAGTTTTGTATTCTGTTTAACTTGGTCTTCTGGTCCTTATGGGCCTCAACTCATTTTTGTTGGGATTAAATCTCTCTAAACTTCTACCTTTCAGATATCCCCAGATTAAAATGTGCCTGAAAATTCAAAGAAAACTTAAAAAAGATGGAGAAGACTAATTTATTCAAAATCTATACAAGTCTAATTAAAACCAAAATAAGATTAAATGAAAATTAAATAAAAATCCAATTAAATAAAACCCAAGGACATCTGAACATGTATAGTTTGCAACGCATCAGCTTTAGCCAAATATATTGTCAAGTTTTACTGTTTTACTTTTCATTTCCCTATTTTTTCACTTATACAAAACACAGCCTGGTATAATTTCCGCAGGTCATTGTTGGTACATTTTTTATTGACCCCAAGAAGGACACTAGGACTGGAATAAGAGAGGATGTTTCTTCCAACAAGTTGCCACCACCAGTTGGTGAGCCAGCATCCAGTTTAGGTTTTCAAGCAGCAGTTGACGTTTCCAGTGGGAACCCAGTCCGGGGAAATGAGGAGCATCAAGCTATTGGGGGAAGTCATTTCATGCTTCAACAGTGTGGTCTGCAAATGACGCCTTCTCATTCCTCAGACTGGGGAGATCGTTCAGATTCAATAAATGCTGGCTTTGAGCTGACAGGTATTAACTTCAGTGGCTCTGGAAATCCCGCACACCCACCCCTCTTTTGCAGTGGATTTGATTTGAAATAGAGAAAGGAGAGTGAACTGTGGTTTCTGTATGCAGGAAGAATAGGTCATGGAGCACACTTGTCCCCTGAGAATGGGGACTATGAACAAATACCTGATTGAGATGGCTTTTGGGTTATCAAAAGACCGATCTATGGTAGATAAATTTATGATATTTCTACGAACCAGCAGTTTTTGACCCATGATGCCTTTTATATTGTGAGAAATGCTAAATCACCCTAAAAAAATCAGCTTAACAGTTCTCCTGTACCTATGAGGGAAAGATATTTAATACTTTCTAAGTTTTGAGAGCTCTAAAATGATCTTTCTATATTTCCTCTTCAGAAATGAGATGATCTTTTTTAGGAGAATTAGCATTTCTCTAATTTTCTTTGCACCAATTAGATAGTCGTAGCTTCAGAAAATCACACTCATGCTTGTCCTTGAAATGTTGTTTGCCTCGTTTATTCATGGCCCATTTATAAATCAAGGTTGCTGGTTTATGCCTCTTTATTTTTGCGGGCCTACGGCTATATACTAGGATAAATATGGTTAGATAACAGTTATTTGGTATTTCAATTAACTTCTGGGTAACATTATCCTTGGAACTTTCAAGGCGAAGTCCTGTTCAAAAGTAGATTGAACATAGCTTAATATAGTTCTTTATTTAGAGTAACAAGTTCTTTTTTGTCTTTCCATTGTTTTCCCTTCTTTTTCCTAACAGCCATGTGATAGAGATACACGGTAATAGAGTAGCCGGAGTCAAACCAGACGGGTTCGCTGTTTTTACTTTTATTTTATTCCCATTCGAACTATGCTTCGTATATTCTTGATAATTTTGGTGTAACTTTTTTTTATTAAATAGTATTAGTAGAAAAGAAATTCAGGGTTTTCTTTTTTCTTTTACTTACCAAAAGAAAGAAAATAAAAACCTGAATTACTTTATCAAAATATAAACAAACACTAATTGAATTGTAAAATAATAACTCGGAATTCGGAAACTCAAAATCTTACGGAGTCTTGTATTTTAGTTGACCTCCACCATAAACAAAAATGATTTTATCTGCTGACTGATTATATAGGAGGGTGAATGTACAGCATAAAGTCTATAAATAGTTCCAAATCTAGTTAAAAACAAAGAAAATAAAAATTTGAGTCATTAATTTGATAACACTTAAGAAAATAGATGAAAAAAAGGAAAAATATTTGGAAGTGTAATGAAGATGCGAATAATGCATTTTAAACTAAAGTTTTAAAAATAAGTCTGACATTTGTTGATTTTTACAGTTAAAATGGATAGTTGTCTGTTTCACATTTTATCTCCACAAAAACATAGTTGTGTCTAAAATAAGAGTTAGTGAAACTAATTAAATTGATTTTAAAACTGTCTAAGAAAAATGTGTTATTTGTGTATGGGGAAGTTATGTGTCTGATAACAGAAGATAATGTGTAAAGATATTATTTCAATTTGAAAATTACATATTCTGATTTATTATATAAGCATATAGTATATAACACTTATAATGTTATTGCTTTTAAAGATGTTGATTTTTAGAAATTCTTTTAACAAGTAATGATCAACTTTGGAAAGCCGTGGAACCAACCAATTGTTGTCTTGTCCCCTTCTTGAAAGTGCTGCTATCCTTTTATTATGTATTTAACTTAACAATGTCTTCTCACATGTTTACGGTTATCTTTAAAGAGAATGCAATCTCTAAGTCCCAATTTTTACATGATTAGGTTATATACAAGTTTCATGTTTAACTTATATACATGATTAGGTTACACGAGTATTATTAAGTTAAAATAAATTTTTTAAATAAATAGTTAATATATGATTTTTTTAAATTTATTTAAATGAGAGAAATATCATAATTATCAATAATAAATATTTTAATATATTAAAATAATTAAATAAAAAATAAAAATTCAAATTAATAATAAATTAAAAGACAAAAACTTAATAAAAAAAAGAACTACTTGGCATTATAAAACAGAAAATAAACTCTTCAGAGTATTTTTATTTGAAAAAGTTTTTAATTTTTTTTTATAATTCATTCTTACAATTTTTATATAAAAATTGTTTCAATCTTAATTTTGTTTTTTCATAATTAAAAAGCATAATATTTTTTATTTACTCTTATTCAATATAATTAAATACTTATTATAATAAGTTTATAAATTTTATTAAATTAATAAAATCATAATATATTTATTTTTTATTATTTAATAATACTCTACAATGTATTCAGGGACCTTAAATCTTAAGGAAGCTCTACTCAGTCCGTTAAACATTGTTCTCACAGTAGCCACCGTAAGGAGTTGTAATGGGTCTTTTTGAGTTTAAAAGAATCCTTCTGATTTGGTCAAATATGGAGGGCTTGTTTTATGATAAATGCTTAAAATTTTACTACAGAAATAAATGAAAATTAATAAATATATTAACAACTGAAATAATATTTACCATTTTAATTAATTAAACATGTTCAACAAAAATAATTAATCATATCAAATGCTATTAATAGTAAATGAAAACTCTTTCCGGGTACATTTCTTTGTAAGCACTCATACAGTATGAATTATTAAATATTTTATTAATTTTATTGATAAACTTATAGATATTTGTTTTAAAAAATACTAACTAATAAATATTAAATAATTAATAGTACATTAAGTAATTATTAATGAATTCGGATCCATTAAATAAAGAAGTAGAAAATATATATACTTACGATTAATTAATATTAAAATATCTCATAATTTAATTAATAATAAATATATGTAACTTGTTTATCTTTTTACGCATTTATTCCCTTTAAATACCTACTAATTCTCAAAATAAATAAATACACGAAAAAATTAAATTTAGTAGATCAATTTCATTAATTCAATATTAACTAATTGAAAACTATGTGTAACGCCATATAAAATTTAACTTTACCTTTTAACATTATAAACGTATATATACACAGAAGAGGGATATTTTTTTTTACATAAAAGTGAAAAAAAAAGCTAGATATAAAATTGTACATGAATTAATGGTTAAAGTTAAAAAGTTTAAGAAATTACATAATTTATAATAAAATTTAATAATCGATATTGATTTATCTGATTCTCAAATAAATCCTAAAACGCATCATAACTTGAATATATGCATATGTGTCTATATTTAATGATTAAAAAATGATTATTAATGATGAAGATATATTAATAAAGATATTTTTAAGAAAAATCTCGAACCTAACCGACCTTAAAAACATACTGCATTGGTAGGTGAAGGAATGTGACGGGGATAACCTCATATGGTGTTTTACTCTGTAATATCGTAATATGTGTAATAGAACAGAACATGTTTGACGAGGAAGATGCACTGAGCAAAACTGTAGCAGGGACTGAGACTCATCCACCTTGGCTTCAACAACACTAAAAACCTCTCTGCGCGGGTCCCACCCTCTTTTCTTCTCTAAACTCAGCACTTTCCTTTGCTTTCTTTCCCGTTGTTTTCTTTCTCGTCGTATTCTCCCCTTTCCGAAGAGAGAGAAAGAGGAAAATTAAAGAATTGGGTTTCTTCTCTTTCTTTGATTTAGCGGAGAGTTCATAGTTAAACCCTTCAAAGTTGAAAACTTTAGCTGAAACCCAGATTAATTAACGTGTGTGGGGCTTGGAATAAAGAAAGGAAGATCTTAATTAAAAGGCCTTGAGTCTGCTTCTGTGGGCGATCTGCAACAATCTCTTGTATTTGATGTGTTGATTTGTGCAGATTTGGGTCAGGTTTGGTATAGTCGGTGAAGCTTTCTGTTTTTAGCCCTTCTTTTGACTCGTGCTATGAGATTTTTGAGTGAATGAATATAAGAAAAACTTTCTTGGATGTTTTTGAAAAGTCAGTGACTGGGTGCCATGGAAACTCATCTTCTGTTGTTGTTGTTGCTTTGCTATCTTATTCTCTGTGCTTCTGCCACCGATGTTGAATTTGACAACTGCAACTGCGACGATGAGGAAGGGATTTGGAGCATACACAGCATACTTGTGGGCCAAAAAGTTAGTGATTTTTTCATTGCTGTTGCTTATTTCTCCATACCCATTGAACTCCTTTACTTTGTTAGCCGTTCAAACGTTCCATTCAAATTGCTATTTCTTCAATTTATTGCCTTCATAGTGCTGTGTGGCTTGACCCATTTGCTCAACGCATATTCCTATCATGGCCCACCCTCCTTCCAGTTGTTGCTTTCCCTTACCGTTGCTAAGTTCCTTACTGCCCTAGTTTCATGTGCAACTGCTTTGACCCTTCCCCCTCTCATCCCTCTTCTTCTCAAAATCAAAGTCAGGGAGCTCTTCCTGAGGCAGAATGTGATGGAGTTGGGCCAGGAGGTTGGAATGATGAAGAAACAGAAGGAAGCAAGTTGGCATGTTAGGATGCTCACAAGGGAAATTAGGAAATCTCTTGATAAGCACACCATCTTGTACACCACCCTTGTTGAGCTTTCAAAGGCATTGGATTTGCATAATTGTGCAGTTTGGATGCCAATTGAGGATAGGCCAGAAATGCACTTAACCCATGAATTGAAATCAAACTCTGCACAGAATTTTCAGAATTCCATTTCTGTAAACGACCCGGATGTAGTAGAGATAATAACAACTAAGGGGGTGAAGATTTTGAGGCCTGATTCTGCACTTGGTGCTGCAAGTAGTGGTGGCTCTGGGGAGTTGGGTGCTGTAGCAGCTATTCGCATGCCATTACTTAATGTATCAAATTTCAAAGGAGGGACACCAGAGTTGATAGAGACATGTTATGCGGTATTAGTTTTGGTTTTTCCAAGTTTAAGCTCTAGGGTTTGGACACACCATGAGATGGAGATAGTTGGAGTAGTCGCTGATCAGGTGGCTGTTGCCCTGTCTCATGCATCCGTTCTTGAAGAATCTCAGCTAATGAGACAGAAACTGGAAGAGCGAAACCGGGCGTTGCAACACGCTAAAAGGAATGCGATGATGGCCAGCGAGGCGAGGAAGTCATTTCAAAAAGTGATGAGCCATGGAATGCGGAGGCCCATGCATTCTACTCTGGGGATGCTTTCCTTGTTTCAAGAGGATAATATGAGATCTGAACAGAAGACTATTGGTGACACAATGTTGAAAGTTGGCTATGTGCTCTCAAGTTTGATTAATGATGTAATGGAGATTTCAGAAAATGAAAAGGGGGGCTTCCGGTTAGAGATGAAACCTTTCCTTCTGCATTCAATGATGAGGGAAGCTGCTTGCATTGCCAAGTGCTTGTGTGTGTATGAAGGCTTTGGTTTTGAAATTGATGTCCAGAAGTCTTTGCCTGACCATGTTATAGGTGACGAGGCACGGACTTTTCAAGTAATTTTACATGTGATTGGCTACTTATTGAACGTGTATGACAAAGGGAATCTCAATTTTCGAGTTTTTCTTGAAAGTGATCGTGGAGATAAGGATGATAGAAGTTTTGGAATATGGAGATCAAGGAATCAAATTGAGTATGTACATATAAAATTTGATTTTCAGATTACTGGTAGTTCTGAGGCAGATGAATCTACTTCAACAAAACATTATACTAGTAGGAGGCAGTTCTACAACAATGAACCTAAGGAGGGCCTGAGCTTCAGCATGTGCAAAAAGTTAGTACAGGTAGGTGCATCGTTATCTATATCAAATTCAAATCTGTGCATCACCGTCCTCGTGATTATAGTCAAATGTATAATTTCCATGTTAATTTTTTAACAGTTACTTATAAGGGACACATGCCTCCTTCCCTCTAGTGAATTTGTGTATCCATCCATTAATTATATTAAGTGCTAGCTATTAGCTTTAGACCTTAGAAATTACATTTTATGCTTAGTGGATGATGTTTGGTTTCACTAATTTACTGTTGACCTGTATTCTCAGAACAGGTTATGGTGTTGGAAATGGGTGGTGAAACTATCATAATAATGAAATAGATGGGTGATATTGCTGTTAGATTAGATTTAATAATACTTAGGAAGCTGCTGTTTAGTCAATGCTGCAACAAATCTTGTGCTTGGTTTTGTTGAGACCAATATGCATACTAGCATAGTTGCATGTATGTTACACAGACACAAGTTTGGCTTAAAAGTTTACTTGCCTCTTGTCAGATTCTGCTTTTAGCTTTAATGGAGAAAAAATTCTGGGGATGTTATGTTGAATATCCCTTCTAAAACAGCCATTGACATCTTCTGTTCTACTTCAGTGATTTTTGGAACCATACAACCTTTTTTCCTATAGATGAATTTGGGATTCGATGCATCAAATAATTGAACCCAGAAGAAATCTCAAAAGCAATAAATATCACAATTTCACCGTCAGCAAATAACTTTATGCAACATTTTCAAATTCACTTTCGACATGCCTTAAAACTTTTGGTTATCCAGAGGAATTGTCATTCCTTGCTATGCAAGTTTGCATTAAGCTTAATTTGGCTCATATGTTGCTGAATAATAATGGCACCCGGGGATGCTGAAAGGAGATCTTCTATTTCAAATTGACTATGCACTGAATCTGTCATTTTTGCAGTCATTGTTTTTCATTAAAATTTTATGAATTAAAATGATAACTCCAACTATTTGTTTCTTCATACTTTCATCAAGAAGGTCAAATTTTAGGTAATCTGCAACTACAAAACTTCCGATTACTTATATTTGACACACAAATTTGCAAACATCCTGCGCTGTAAGGGTTTCAGCTATGAGCTGACATGCCATTTCTGTTGTGACCTAACTACTTTTGAAGAACAAAAAAATTTGGAGAACCAATTCATGATGTCCTTTTGGCTTAACATCATTACACAGAAGCTAGTGTCCCTCATATCAGAAAGATCCTTGTGTGTACACCTAATATATGTGTGTGACATCATTTATCCTTTTTTGGGAGCTTATACTAGATAATTGAAAATATGGATTCTGACTGGCTGACAGCAAATGCATCGGGCAACATGAAGATTATAATAGCACTGTCTTTTTTGAATTGTATGATCATTTTAGAATTTTCTACCGTAAACTAGACTAGAAAAAATTGTCTTTTTCCTTTCATCAGTTGGATTAGGTAACCAATAAGAAGGTTCATGCATTTTGGGTTAAGTGGGTCTATGGAAGCAAAATGGTAAAGCGGGATCTTTTGTGCCTTGAGAATCTGGTAAAGTAGGACCCTGCTTTATACACGTAAGATACACTATAATATTCATTTAAAGCATACAATTCTTTTACTATGCATTATACTTTCTGTTTTTCCCCTAACCGAAATTCCCTGCTTTTGCCTATCTGCTTATGTGTTCAGAGAATGACCCTTGTGTAATGTTTTAATTAATCATGATAATGATATATATTTTTCCTCATAATTCTGACTTCCCAGTGTGGAAACATATGCAGATGATGCAAGGTAATATATGGATATCACCAAACTCTCAGGGGTTGGTGCAAGGCATGACACTTCTTCTCAAGTTTCAGATGCGACCATCACTTGAAAATTCCATGCTTGTACCTAAAAATTCTTCATACTCACAGTTCAGAGGCCTTCAGGTTGTGTTAACCGAGGATGATAGCGTAAACAGGACCGTGACCAAGAAGCTACTTGAGAAGCTTGGTTGTCAAGTAACTGCAGTTTCATCAGGGTTTGAGTGCCTGAGTACTATAAGTGGCTCTGGTAACTCCTTCAGAATCATCCTGTTGGATGTTCACATGCCAGAAATTGATGGTTTTGAAGTAGCAAAGAGAATTCGGAAGTTCCATAGCCGTAGTTGGCCCTTGATCATAGCTCTTATAGCAAGTGGAGAAGAACATATGAAGGAGAAATGCTTACTTGCAGGAATGAATGGATTGATCCAAAAACCTATTGTACTTCATCAGATAGCAGATGAAATTAGAACAGTCCTGCAAAGAGCTGGTGAAAACCTGTGAGAACAGTTTTTAAAAACATGCTTGGTTCAAGAAAAATTGAGTTCATTAATAATTACAAAATTGTCACAATGTTTTTGTTTTCTTTCTAATTTTTAAGGTTTTGTAGGCTATGTTTTTATTACTTTATGAACAAATTCTTGAAATTAAGAAACAAAATAAAAACAACTTGTCTTTTTTATAATTATTAATGAAAAATAGGAAACGTTTTCTCAAATCAAATATGCAAGTGGCTCAATTATCTTAAAGTTCCTTTAAGTTTTTTGTCCTTCAATGTATTATGACCTTAGACGCAGCGAGAGATGGTATCAGGAGAAAGATCAAAACGTGGGTGGATCTTAGGTATTTGGAAAATTTTCACCATTTCAAAATATATTTGACTATTGTTAATTTATTGAAATAGTCAATCAAGTGGAAACAAATTTTCGTGTGATTTTTTTATATGGTAACGTCATGTAAAGCGAAATATAAGACAACGACATAGAACACACTAAACACGTTGGTCCTTTCCATATGCGGTTATATCTAAACCAAGTTATGCATGGCTTTTATATCAATTGAATCTGGCCAATTTTTTCCTTTACGTCATTGGAGAATTTTAATACAATAATATAATAACATAAATACAATATAAGAAATAAGTAGTGAACAAATATCTTTTAAAATTTGATCCGTGAAAAAAATAAAATTAAAACACAATTATAAAATAATACAAAAGACAAATAATTCTTGTTTAACATGAAAAATTTCTTAAGATATAAAAAATTATAGGTCATCTATACTAAAAAATAATAATTTACTATGATTAACAAATAATATAAAAAAGTCTATAATGAATAGACAAAATCAGTTAAAGTAAACACAGTATTACTACTTATAAATAAGAAATAAAAAGATGAAAAAAATTCTCTAATTACATAAAATTATGATACTTGTTTCTCTCTCTTCGGTTGATGATCTAACTTGACAAAATAAAGACTCACATATTACGAATTTGTCAAAAAAATCAACTCAATTAAATGATTAATTTAGAATTACAATTTAAAAAAATGATGTTTTGGTTATGTAAAAAAAAAATAGCAATTAGTTTTTTTTCTTTCTATTTTCTCTTAATGTTTTTGTTTCAAAGAGTCTCTTTTTTCTTATACCTATTTGTTTCTTCTCCATTAATTTTAGTGAAATACAATGAATTTAATATTTTTACTCTTTTCTCTACGTAAAAGAGCTCAAAGTTGATTTATTTATTTAATATATAATTTCTTAAGATTTGATTTTATTATTTTATATAGTATTTAGTTGGAAAGTACTGGACAAAAGGGAAAATGTGATTTTATAAAAATTTTATGCCAAGTTTAAAATTTTAGAGAAAAAAGGAGCTAAAATTCCTCTTTGCTTAATTTTAATTTCCTTCTAAAATGAGACATTTGGAGGAGAGATATTTTTTATACTAATTGGATTAGTTTTAATTTAATAATTTTATTTGATCATTTTAAATCTATAATAATATGTGTTTATTTTTTTTTTCCTCTATCACCCTCCTTTTCCTTTGTAAATTAAATAAAATATTTTTCCTCCATTAAATTTATTTTCTGTCTTTTCCTCTCACTTTTTTTAGTCAAACAGTATATTAAAAATATTAGTTAGGTTGAAAATTGATTTAAAACTTTTGCTTTATAGTAACAAAGTGGTGAGAAAAAAATTATTGAGAATAAAATAAAAATAAAAATGTAAGTAATACAAAATTATTTAAATTTATTTTTAAATCCTAATTTCATATTCATTTTGACGAGATAATGACATTAATAAAAAATTTGAGTTACTCAAATAATGCTTTATACTTTGTTTGATAAGTAAGAAATAATTAAGAAAAATCTAGGAAAAAAGGAAATAGTTTTTGTGCAATTTATTTTTTCAATTTGATATAACATAAATAAAAGAGGAAGAAAACATTTCCCCTCTCTTATCAATTATCATATGTCACTTATTCTTTCCGGTTAAATATAATTATTTATTTTATTTTAACTAAAATATTTTAAAATAAACATATTTAAGTTTTAAAAGATTTTTAAAGTAAAATTATACCATAATTTGACATAAAATATTAACTTACTTAAAAAATACATAAATTTTATTTTTTTCTCCATATTTCTATTTTGTATATCAAATAACTTAAAAAGAATATATATTTTATGTATTTTCTCTGATTCTTTCATAAGAAATTTTGAATTTTTTTTATTAATCCTTAATATAAAACATTTTATGAAGTTGTTAAAATATTTACTATTATTTTATATATTCATCAGTATTTAATTTGAATTAAAAAACTTAAAACACTGGAATTAATTTTTAAAAAATAAATATATTAACTACGTTTAACAATTTTCTTTAGTACATATTTTTTTTCCTTTCTTTTCCTGTTCGTTCTCAATGGAAAGAGCGTGGTGAGGCTGAGGAAGAGAGGCACGGATCGTTGGCGAATATGAGTTGTGAAGGCGAAGCAGAAGCAGAATACTTCTGCAATGACTTCGAGTGGGAACAACTACGATCAGAGGTTGAATCTAACCCTTCTTATGGCTACCACTTTGAGAGTGAACCCTCTTCCTCTTCCTCTTCCTCACAATCACAATCACCACAATCAGACGTCAAAGCTTGGAACCAATTTCACCTCCGTCACGCCTCCGGAAAATTCTTCAAGGTTCATTCTCTTTCCCCTTCCCATTATTGCACCATTCACTTCCCGAACCTAATCGCTTCATCCCTTTCAGGAGAGGCGCTATTTGTTAAAGGAGTTCCCTGAATTACTTACCTGTCCCCCAAATTCTAAGCTCTTGGAAGTTGGTTGCGGCAATGGCAGTACCGCTCTTCCTATTCTTAGGTTCTTTTCTTCTCTTTCGTTCACTAATTATTCGCTTTTATTTTTGTTGGTCTTACGAAACTTTGGTGTGTAGGGCCAACAAAGAGGTGATTGTTTATGCGTGTGACTGTAGTGTTGAGACTCTTGAGAGGGCTAAAGAGATTATAAGTGCCACCTCTGTTTCCTCTTTTAAGCAGCGTTTTCGTACATTCTGTTGTGATATTTCCACTCATGGATTCCCAAATTGGTTGACATGGAACCCTTGCCAAGATAAATCCTTACACAAACACTCATGCTGCTTGTCAGGTTTACTTTGCTCTACCTTTATTTTCCTCATTTATACTATTTGTTGTATTGTCTCCATAAAAAGTGTTTGCGTTTCCCTTCAGACGTTGGAGAGGATAATGTTCTGCAGCTTACTAATCCGTATTCATCAGAAGAATTTGACGGTTGCGTTGGTGGAGTAGATTTTGTAACATTGGTTCGATCTTTTCTTCTCTAAAATCACATGAGTTCAGTGATATAGTGCTTTTAGACCTTGAGCATATGTTAGAGCAATAATTAACACCTTGAGTTATTTAAAATTACTATTTGTTATTTCAAATGTTTCTCTTTGCAAGCGATGTCGCTTGACAGCATATTCCTAACAACATATGTTAGCAGATATACTCTCTGTTTCATTGTCTTTTTAAAAGTTTTTGTTTTGTTTCAATTTCTCTGTTATTTTAGAAAATAAAATGTTTAAACTATATCTTTGTCTCCTCTTTATCTATACTAAGTGGAATGAGATAGGGCAATTGCATTAATGGAGTGACAATAGCAGAGAAGTCATTCGGAGAGATTGTTAGCCGAACTGAGGCTTGGAACCCAGTTGAGAAGGGGTGACCCTTGTGAAGGAGTATTCTCATTGTTCATTCATTCTCCAATAAACATTATTCCATTCTTTCCTCAATTCTCCATTCTTGCCTCATTTGTATTTTACTCATTACATTTTTCTCCCTATAGGGATTTTCTTAGTTGTAGAAACATTAAACTTCGCTATATTTTAATTTAATTCGTCCCTGTCAGTTCTCTGGGTTTCTCCTTGTTTCATTTTGGTGCATTACATTCCATGCCTCTATATTGCTCTAATTTGGAGTATGTCATTCATATTTTAGTAGTAGTGGTTTTTCATACGTAGCTTTTACTCTACTTGTGACACTTATTTGTCAGTTGCTTTAATGATTGCTACAATTTTGTGAGTACTCATATGGTTTATTTTGCCTTAGTGATTTTTAATCTTTCTTTATAAGCTCTCTGAATTTTTGACATACAAATCAGCTTTATCTCTAATCTATAAAATAAACCATAGACTTGTTGAATATTGTAACCTAAATATTAATGATCTCTCATTGTGTAAGTTGCTTGCTTTGATGTGTCATGTCAGATATTCACCCTATCAGCAATACCACTGGAAAGGATGGCAAGGTTCATCAAGGAATGTTTTATTGTGCTAAAGCCAGGAGGCAAGGTTTTATTTAGGGACTATGGTATATAAACAAACTGGCCAATTTATTCTGTCTAGAGCTTTTGGGAAAATAAATCTGTAGCTTTTTATTAATCCTTTATGTCATAGTTGTTCTTAGGAAACCTAAAGTGCTGGCAATGACTGAACCCTGTGTAATCAGGCCTCTATGATATGACTATGCTTCGATTTGAGCCAGACAAGAGAGTTGGATTCAGGGAATACATGCGGTCAGATGGAACAAGATCGTATTTCTTTTCTTTGGATACTGTCCGGAACCTGTTTTTGGGTGCAGGCTTCACTGAGGTACTTTTATTTCTTTAATTAATAGAAAAGAACTTTTGGGGTTAACATAACTGGTGGATCCCTAGTTATTTTCAAATAGAAACATAAGTTTTGTGTTCTTGCATAAAGGGTAATACTTATTTGCTAGTTTTTTTTTTTCATGTGTGTGAATTGAGCTTAGAATCTAAACGTTCATGATTCAGAACCTTCCAACTGTCAACCATCTATAAAATTTGAGTCTCCAGTGTCTCTCGATTCTGGAGTTTATCAGCCATATTGTTTTCTGCTGACTTCCACTAATTTGATAATTTATGAATTGTGCAGCTTGAGCTCGATTATTGTTGCATCAAGTCCGTAAATCGCCGGAAAGGGAAGTGTATGCAAAGAGTGTGGGTTCACGGGAAGTTCCAGAAGCCTGCACTGAGTTGTCAATAATCTCTCTTGGCGTGCTGTCTGAAGTCAGATGAAAGTGTACACTTGTTCAAGTTTATCGTTGATTGCTTAAACAGGTGGAAAAGACAAGTGAAGGAGTCTGATGTTTCTGCATTCCTTTGTTTTTTCTCCTAAATTT